CCACCACGCCCTGCGCGTGGAACTTCTTTGGCACCGTACGTAGCCGAGCGCGCTCACCGCAGGTGCGGGGGAAGGACGACGAACTGAACGCGAAGTGTTCTTTGCGAAGAGGCGTCGTTCTCAATCTACTTTGCAAACGACGCCCTTGGCAATAGAATACACTCAGCGAGTGTCAAGAGTGGGGTTTGTTTCAGGAGCGTCCTGCTCTGTCATGTTTCACCAATGCCAATGCCCCCCACCCCCCCCACTCCATCCAGCCCCGCGTTTCCTCCAGGGCGTTGTTGTGAACGTCCGACGCACCCGCTACACCCCCCCCCCCCCCCCCCCCCCGGTGGCTTGCTTCTCACACGGCCCCCTTAACGCGAACAACGGCACATGGCCGGTGAACGAGTGCAGCTGGATCGCGTCACGGATCGTGTCACGGATCGTGTCACGGATCGTGTCATGCGAGCGGCGTGGTAAACGAGGGAGGGTGGATGGGACCCCCCACAAAACATCGCAGCTCAACAGCGTGGGGAGGCGGGGGGGGGGGCGTCTCGCCGGACCGAGGACACTTTGCACTCATTAGCGTAGTTTGCTGTTGCGACGTTCTGTCGCGCCCCTACGGGACAGCTGCGGGGAGAGAGCTTCGTAGCTCATCGGATTCCTCCTCCAAGTCCAAATCAATATTGAGATTCTGATCCGATCGCGATCACCGCTTCACCGGCGTGTCGTTGTCACGCCGCTCGGAGCGTGGCTGTGTTCGTCACGGTTGGGCTACGGGTGCATTCTGTGCGTGGCCCCGATGCAATGTGAAGGTCTCCTGGCTCCTGATTCAAAACGGGTGTGTCCTCTGCCGCCATCACCACCACCGCCCCCTGCAGCTTCCTGCTCGTGCTGAATTACATCGGCATGAACCTGGCGACCCTCAACTCGTGCGTCAACCCCGTCGCCCTCTACGTCGTCAGCGCAAAGTTCAGGAACCGCTTCAAGGTGCGTTTGGTGGCGTCGGCCACGTTTCTGTCGTCACGTTTAGATCACGGGGGGGCTTCTCAATCGCCGGTGCTCGGGAACCGCGACAACAACAACAACATCAACAACAACAACAACAATCACCGCTGGTGCACAGGTCTGACGATCACGTTGCACGTTCGCGTGACGAATTCAAACTGATACGGGTCTCGTGAATTGATGCGTATCTACTACGTGTGTTTGTATGCAAGTATGTATGTTTGCATGTGTGTACGTGAGTGGGTGTGTGTTTAGGGGAGCGGTGGTGTAGCGGTTAGTGTTAACCAGAGGTGCGGGGAAAGGACAACAAACTAAGCACAAAAAGCAGTTCTAAAGAAATGAGATTGTCAACGTGGATAATTTAAAAGTGCGTAGCTCCAGTGGCTTCCTATTATCGGAAGGAAGAGCGTTGCAGACGGCCGCAGAAGCGCGTCTGAAAGCGCCGCGCGATGCGGTGATCCCCACCGCCGCCTGTGTTCGATGGCGAGCAGTCAGAAGCCGCCGCTGCCGCTGCTGCTGCTGCTGCTGCCGCCGCTGCTGCTGCTGCTGCTGTGAGGATGATGAGCGGAGTTGGCGTGATGGGTTGACGCTCACTTGACGAGATCGGCGAAGGTGTCGCGGGTTCATGTGTGGCGAGCGCTTTGCGTGCGGCGAGAGCGAATTTGACGTCGCTCGTCGCAGTGCCGACCCTCCTCGCTCCAACTCTCTCTCCTCCTCCTCGTCGTCGCCGCCGTGCACAGTCCTGCCTGTGCTGCTGCTGGGCGACAAGCAGACGGCGCTCCAGCGGAAGGCCGTGGCGGCGCCGGCCAGCCCGCTCGGCCGCAGCAACTCCCGCTCCAGCAACAAGTTTATCCTCACTTGAGCTGAGCTGGCCCCCCCCCCCCCCCCCGGGGGATGTGGAGGGAGGGGAGGTGGGAGAAGAGTTGCCGGGGGGGGGTGGGGCAACGGGGGCCGAAGTGAACTAGACAGCCGTGGCCACGTGGGCCAGGCGACCGGCTTGGCTGGAGGACGGTGAAAGCAAACGACGCGAACGGCTTAGCGAGGCAATCGCGGCCGGTCGCGTGACGTGCGCTTGCACGGCTTGGCGCGACAGACAGCCAGAGAGAGGGAGGAGAGATGGGGGGAGGGGTGTTTAAGCACTCGCTCGAGCGGAACGAGCGCATGCCACTTCGCCCAACTGGGCTGCTTCCCAACGGCCTGGGGGGTCCCCCCTCGCTCGCTCGCCTCCCTCCCTGTCTCCACCCCCACCCCCCACCCCCCACCCCCCCTCACCACTCGCGTCTCTCTTGCTGAGACGTCGATGTCGCAGCAACACGGCGGGGGGAGCGCTCGCTCGCCAACTGTTGATGCAACTTTATTTTATTTTTTGGCCTCCTTGATGCTTTCACTTGTCCAACTTTGCCTGTCCCTTGGCACGATCAGGCGCAGCGTACGGACGTTGACAGGATGTCGCTGGCTGTGTTCTGGCCGGCGCCGGTCTCTTTTGCAAAGTAGTCGAAAGAGCCGAAGAACCGGGGTAATGTTACAGTGGTGGGACTTTACTTCCGTTAGTTACGTACATACATTTGCAATCATACATGTGTGTCTCGCATCAATGGGCAGAGTTGCTTTCAAGAGGCACACAAAAATATTGCACGTTCAAATAAACAACGTCTACGCAACATGTTTGTGAATACATGTAAATAGACATTTACTGATGGATGCGTGAATGCGCCTGTGTGTGTGTGTTCAAACATGCCGCACGCGTACACGTGGAGCTAAAGCGGTGTTTTTAAATCCTTTATATTAAGTTCACTTGTTTGCTTGCGGGCTTGCTTGCTTGCTTACGACCGTGCAAACCTTTCGGTCGTTTTTTAACCCACTTCCCGTGATCCAATCGAGCTGACATTTCGCACACAGACTCGTTGTGCGTAACAATTAATGTTCGTGAAAATTTTTTTCCAAAATTTTACACTATTTAGGGAAAACAAATTAAATATTTAATTACCAATTGCTTAATGGTGGCAGGCAATCATCTGACCCATAGGTGGCAGCCATCTCAAGCCAGAGGACGAGAGGACTCTAGCCGCCACGCATATAAAGGATTTAGAGTGAAAAACTTTGTTTTTACGGGTTATACTTTTTAATATTTGGATGTGTCGAGAGAGGGCCACACATGTGAAGGCTTACGCAGCGAGAAAGAGCAAAAGCATCGGGGTTAAGAAGAGAAGAGTGACAGAGCTCGAGAGACCGTGCAGGGGAGGGAGGAAAAACGACGTAGAACAAGAGACGGAAGAAGACAGAACAAAAGAGCTCATTCTCATGAGAGCAGATGAACAGATTATCTTAATAAGTATAACCCGTAAAAACAAAGTTTTTCACTCTAAATCCTTTATATGCGTGGCGGCTAGAGTCCTCTCGTCCTCTGGCTTGAGATGGCTGCCACCTATGGGTCAGATGATTGCCTGCCACCATTAAGCAATTGGTAATTAAATATTTAATTTGTTTTCCCTAAACAGTTTAAAATTTTTGAAAAAAATTTCACGAACATTAATTGTCTCGCACAACGAGTCTGTGTGCAAAATATCAGCTCGATTGGATCACGGGAAGTGGGTTAAAAAACGACCGAAAGAGTTGCACGGTCGTAAGCAAGCAAGCAAGTGAACTTAATATAAATGATTTAAAAAAGAGCTCATTCTCATGAGAGCAGATGAACAGATTATCTTAATAAGAAAGCAGTGGTCGTGTGTGTGCTGTGCGTGGTGGTGGTGGTGGGTGGTGGTTCCCCAGCTGTCCGCGTGAGAGCGAGAGAGATGAGGAGGGAGAGGGAGGGAGATGGGCCACGGGGCAGACAGACGGGCAGATGGGGAAGCTTTCGAGGGTCGATAAGTCACGTGACCTGGCGGCTGGACGGGCTGTCACGTGACCCTCAAGCAAGAAACTCCGCTTCAGGCCTGTGCCTAATGTGCACTTGCAATTACAAACATCAACACGTACACACACAACAACAACAGTCATTCGCCACTAAGTGGCGGTGACGTCACCACGACGCTTGTGCCAGGCCAAGTGCACCTTGAGGCCACATGAAGTGTCGAACGCCCGCTGGCAGGAGGTCACGGGGCAGACCCAGCAGGTGCCACGGGTCGACTGACCGAGATGACCGAGATGACTGGCTGATGCACCACCTGTGCCCCCTACTGTACCAACTTGCTGTGTTTTAGCCACCCGGCGCTCCGCTCGTTGTTGTGAGCGTCGCTCCTCCGCCCTCCGTTGTTGCTGGAGGGCGACTGCCTCCAACTGCCCAGTAGCGTCCTTCACGAGCCTCCACCACTGAGGCCGATCTTGACACCGCTGGTACCAGTCATCGGCAAGTCCGCTCAGCTCCACGTCCTCCTGTACCACATCACTCCATCTCTTCTCCAGCCCGTGCCGCGCCCGTCTAGCCCCCTCGATCCGGCCGAACAAAAGCTGTTTAGGCATGCGGTGGCTGGGCTCACACACACACACACACAAGTACACACACACAGACATCGACTTGAGATACACACACATGGACTCACACACACAAGTACACACATACAGACATCGACTTGAGATACACACACATGGACTCACACACAAGTACACACATACAGACATCAACTTACACACACATACAAACTTACACAGACATCGACTTGAGATACACACACATGGACTCACACACACACAAGTACACACAGACATCGACTTACACACACATGGACTCACACACACACACAAGTACACACAGACATCGACTTACACACACACATATGAACACACACCCACGATAGTCTACTCCCATGTTATCCCAACGGAAATCGATTCCATTAGCTTAATAAACGTTAAATCGATTCCCATGTTATCCCAATATAAATCGACTCCATACACCCGTTAATCTACAGTAATAGATTCCTAATGTTATCCCATTAAGAATCGACGCGAGTAGAGTTAATCGAATCGGGAATCGAATTTCTCTGCACCACGTGACTTGGGAAACTGCAAAACGCGTCTCCCGGATGGGCGTCATGGCGGCGAGGAAACTCTTCTCGAGACTTGGCCTACTCTTCCTCTCCCTCCTCCTCCACCTCCACCTCGTCACGTGCACACACGGTGAGCACAGCCGGAGGTGGTCGATACATCGGGTACCAGGTTGTGGTGTACGTGGGGAGCGGTGGTTCAGTGGTTAGCGCACTGTGTGTGTGTGTGGGGAGCGGTGGTGCAGTGATGAGCGCACTGTGTGTGTGTGTGGGGAGTGGTGGTGCAGTGGTTAGCGCACTGTGTGTGTGTGGGGAGTGGTGGTGCAGTGGTTAGCGCACTGTGTGTGTGTGGGGAGTGGTGGTGCAGTGGTTAGCGCACTGTGTGTGTGTGTGGGGAGTGGTGGTGCAGTGGTTAGCGCACTGTGTGTGTGTGGGGAGTGGTGGTGCAGTGGTTAGCGCACTGTGTGTGTGTGGGGAGTGGTGGTGCAGTGGTTAGCGCACTGTGTGTGTGTGGGGAGTGGTGGTGCAGTGGTTAGCGCAGTGTGTGGGGAGCGGTGGTGCAGTGGTTAGCGCACTGTGTGTGAGTGGGGAGTGGTGGTGCAGTGGTTAGCGCACTGTGTGGGGAGCGGTGGTACAGTGGTTAGCGCACTGTGTGTGTGTGGGGAGTGGTGGTGCAGTGGTTAGCACACTGTGTGTGTGTGGGGAGTGGTGGTGCAGTGGTTAGCGCAGTGTGTGGGGAGCGGTGGTGCAGTGGTTAGCGCACTGTGTGTGAGTGGGGAGTGGTGGTGCAGTGGTTAGCGCACTTTGTGTGGGGAGTGGTGGTGCAGTGGTTAGCGCACTTTGTGTGTGTGGGGAGTGGTGGTGCAGTGGTTAGCGCAGTGTGGGGAGCGGTGGTGCAGTGGTTAGCACAGTGTGTGGGGAGCGGTGGTGCAGTGGTTAGCGCACTGTGTGTGTGATTGGGGAGTGGTGGTGCAGTGGTTAGCGCACTTTGTGTGGGGAGTGGTGGTGCAGTGGTTAGCGCACTTTGTGTGTGTGGGGAGCGGTGGTGCAGTGGTTAGCGCACTGTGTGTGTGAGTGGGGAGTGGTGGTGCAGTGGTTAGCGCACTGTGTGTGTGAGTGGGGAGTGGTGGTGCAGTGGTTAGCGCACTTTGTGTGGGGAGTGGTGGTGCAGTGGTTAGCGCACTTTGTGTGTGTGTGGGGAGTGGTGGTGCAGTGGTTAGCGCACTGTGTGTGTGTGGGGAGCGGTGGGGCAGTGGTTAGCACACTGTGTGTGTGTGGGGAGCGGTGGGGCAGTGGTTAGCACACTGTGTGTGTGTGGGGAGCGGTGGTGCAGTGGTTAGCGCACTGTGTGTGTGTGGGGAGCGGTGGTGCAGTGGTTAGCGCACTTTGTGTGTGTGTGGGGAGCGGTGGGGCAGTGGTTAGCACACTGTGTGTGGGGGGGGGAGCGGTGGTGCAGTGGTTAGCGCACTGTGTGTGTGTGGGGAGCGGTGGTGCAGTGGTTAGTGCACTTTGTGTGTGAGTGGGGAGTGGTGGTGCAGTGGTTAGCGCACTTTGTGTGTGAGTGGGGAGTGGTGGTGCAGTGGTTAGCGCACTGTGTGTGTGAGTGGGGAGTGGTGGTGCAGTGGTTAGCGCACTTTGTGTGGGGAGTGGTGGTGCAGTGGTTAGCGCACTTTGTGTGTGTGTGGGGAGTGGTGGTGCAGTGGTTAGCGCAGTGTGGGGAGCGGTGGTGCAGTGGTTAGCACAGTGTGTGGGGAGTGGTGGTGCAGTGGTTAGCGCACTGTGTGTGTGTGGGGAGCGGTGGTGCAGTGGTTAGCGCACTGTGTGGGGGTGGGAGTGGTGGTGCAGTGGTTAGCGCACTGTGTGTGTTGAGCGGGGAGCGGTGGTGCAGTGGTTAGCGCACTGTGTGTATGTGAGGAGCGGTGGTGCAGTGGTTAGCGCACTGTGTGTGTGTGGGGAGCGGTGGTGTAGTGGTTAGCGCACTGTGTGTGTGAGTGGTGGTACAGTGGTTAGCGCACTGTGTGTGTGTGGGGGGAGTGGTGGTACAGTGGTTAGCGCACTGTGTGTGTGAGTGGGGAGTGGTGGTGCAGTGGTTAGCGCACTTTGTGTGGGGAGTGGTGGTGCAGTGGTTAGCGCACTTTGTGTGTGTGTGTGAGTGGTGGTACAGTGGTTAGCGCACTGTGTGTGTGTGGGGGGAGTGGTGGTACAGTGGTTAGCGCACTGTGTGTGTGTGGGGAGCGGTGGTGCAGTGGTTAGCGCACTGTGTGTGTGTGGGGGGAGTGGTGGTACAGTGGTTAGCGCACTGTGTGTGTGTGTGGGGAGCGGTGGTGCAGTGGTTAGCGCACTGTGTGTGTGTGGGGAGCGGTGGTGCAGTGGTTAGCGCACTGTGTGTGTGTGTGTGGGGAGCGGTGGTGCAGTGGTTAGCGCACTGTGTGCGTGTGTGGGGGGAGCGGTGGTGCAGTGGTTAGCGCACTGTGTGTGTGAGTGGGGAGTGGTGGTGCAGTGGTTAGCGCACTGTGTGTGTGAGTGGGGAGTGGTGGTGCAGTGGTTAGCGCACTTTGTGTGGGGAGTGGTGGTGCAGTGGTTAGCGCACTTTGTGTGTGTGTGGGGAGTGGTGGTGCAGTGGTTAGCGCACTGTGTGTGTGTGTGTGTGGGGAGCGGTGGGGCAGTGGTTAGCACACTGTGTGTGTGTGGGGAGCGGTGGGGCAGTGGTTAGCACACTGTGTGTGTGTGGGGAGCGGTGGTGCAGTGGTTAGCGCACTGTGTGTGTGTGGGGAGCGGTGGTGCAGTGGTTAGCGCACTTTGTGTGTGTGTGGGGAGCGGTGGGGCAGTGGTTAGCACACTGTGTGTGGGGGGGGAGCGGTGGTGCAGTGGTTAGCGCACTGTGTGTGTGTGGGGAGCGGTGGTGCAGTGGTTAGTGCACTTTGTGTGTGAGTGGGGAGTGGTGGTGCAGTGGTTAGCGCACTTTGTGTGTGAGTGGGGAGTGGTGGTGCAGTGGTTAGCGCACTGTGTGTGTGAGTGGGGAGTGGTGGTGCAGTGGTTAGCGCACTTTGTGTGGGGAGTGGTGGTGCAGTGGTTAGCGCACTTTGTGTGTGTGTGGGGAGTGGTGGTGCAGTGGTTAGCGCACTGTGTGTGTGTGTGTGGGGAGCGGTGGGGCAGTGGTTAGCACACTGTGTGTGTGTGGGGAGCGGTGGGGCAGTGGTTAGCACACTGTGTGTGTGTGGGGAGCGGTGGTGCAGTGGTTAGCGCACTGTGTGTGTGTGGGGAGCGGTGGTGCAGTGGTTAGCGCACTTTGTGTGTGTGTGGGGAGCGGTGGGGCAGTGGTTAGCACACTGTGTGTGGGGGGGGAGCGGTGGTGCAGTGGTTAGCGCACTGTGTGTGTGTGGGGAGCGGTGGTGCAGTGGTTAGTGCACTTTGTGTGTGAGTGGGGAGTGGTGGTGCAGTGGTTAGCGCACTTTGTGTGTGAGTGGGGAGTGGTGGTGCAGTGGTTAGCGCACTTTGTGTGGGGAGTGGTGGTGCAGTGGTTAGCGCACTTTGTGTGTGTGTGGGGAGTGGTGGTGCAGTGGTTAGCGCAGTGTGGGGAGCGGTGGTGCAGTGGTTAGCACAGTGTGTGGGGAGTGGTGGTGCAGTGGTTAGCGCACTGTGTGTGTGTGGGGAGCGGTGGTGCAGTGGTTAGCGCACTGTGTGGGGGTGGGAGTGGTGGTGCAGTGGTTAGCGCACTGTGTGTGTTGAGCGGGGAGCGGTGGTGCAGTGGTTAGCGCACTGTGTGTATGTGAGGAGCGGTGGTGCAGTGGTTAGCGCACTGTGTGTGTGTGGGGAGCGGTGGTGTAGTGGTTAGCGCACTGAGTGTGTGAGTGGTGGTACAGTGGTTAGCGCACTGTGTGTGTGTGGGGGGAGTGGTGGTACAGTGGTTAGCGCACTGTGTGTGTGAGTGGGGAGTGGTGGTGCAGTGGTTAGCGCACTTTGTGTGGGGAGTGGTGGTGCAGTGGTTAGCGCACTTTGTGTGTGTGTGTGAGTGGTGGTACAGTGGTTAGCGCACTGTGTGTGTGTGGGGGGAGTGGTGGTACAGTGGTTAGCGCACTGTGTGTGTGTGGGGAGCGGTGGTGCAGTGGTTAGCGCACTGTGTGTGTGTGGGGGGAGTGGTGGTACAGTGGTTAGCGCACTGTGTGTGTGTGTGGGGAGCGGTGGTGCAGTGGTTAGCGCACTGTGTGTGTGTGGGGAGCGGTGGTGCAGTGGTTAGCGCACTGTGTGTGTGTGTGTGGGGAGCGGTGGTGCAGTGGTTAGCGCACTGTGTGCGTGTGTGGGGGGAGCGGTGGTGCAGTGGTTAGCGCACTGTGTGTGTGAGTGGGGAGTGGTGGTGCAGTGGTTAGCGCACTGTGTGTGTGAGTGGGGAGTGGTGGTGCAGTGGTTAGCGCACTTTGTGTGGGGAGTGGTGGTGCAGTGGTTAGCGCACTTTGTGTGTGTGTGGGGAGTGGTGGTGCAGTGGTTAGCGCACTGTGTGTGTGTGTGTGTGGGGAGCGGTGGGGCAGTGGTTAGCACACTGTGTGTGTGTGGGGAGCGGTGGGGCAGTGGTTAGCACACTGTGTGTGTGTGGGGAGCGGTGGTGCAGTGGTTAGCGCACTGTGTGTGTGTGGGGAGCGGTGGTGCAGTGGTTAGCGCACTTTGTGTGTGTGTGGGGAGCGGTGGGGCAGTGGTTAGCACACTGTGTGTGGGGGGGGAGCGGTGGTGCAGTGGTTAGCGCACTGTGTGTGTGTGGGGAGCGGTGGTGCAGTGGTTAGTGCACTTTGTGTGTGAGTGGGGAGTGGTGGTGCAGTGGTTAGCGCACTTTGTGTGTGAGTGGGGAGTGGTGGTGCAGTGGTTAGCGCACTGTGTGTGTGAGTGGGGAGTGGTGGTGCAGTGGTTAGCGCACTTTGTGTGGGGAGTGGTGGTGCAGTGGTTAGCGCACTTTGTGTGTGTGTGGGGAGTGGTGGTGCAGTGGTTAGCGCAGTGTGGGGAGCGGTGGTGCAGTGGTTAGCACAGTGTGTGGGGAGTGGTGGTGCAGTGGTTAGCGCACTGTGTGTGTGTGGGGAGCGGTGGTGCAGTGGTTAGCGCACTGTGTGGGGGTGGGAGTGGTGGTGCAGTGGTTAGCGCACTGTG